ATTGTGCGCTTTGAGCAGGATATCTAGCCTGGATAAGGCGGGTTACAAATATTCTAGTTATTATTAAGTTTTACATACATAATAAATACAAGTTGTTAAAAACCAGTAATCAACGGACTATCCCTGATGATGATTAAAACTAGCATTCAAATCCAAAACTATTTTACTATTGAAGACGATACAATAGTATAAACGGGCTACATTGTATAGGTCACCAACAGCTAAAGGTAGATCACCACACTAGGTACCCATGGGGACGTACAGTGCTATAACAGATTTTGACTTAAAACTAGCGTGTCATCATACAAAGATATTATTATACAGAACGATAAAATGTCAAACGGGCTATAGATCATCAGCAACTGAAGGTAGATGACCACCATGGAGACTTACAGTCTTGCACGTTATCTGCTTGAAACCCTGCTGGATTTACATCATCCCTGATGGTGCTGGCGATTCTTGAAAAAAGTCGCCAAGCTCTAACAACACACCTATTCTTCTATTAAAGCATTTGCGGATAAACATACTTTGATCTGATCTCAATACTAATCTTCTTTAATAGCCATATACTAAGAATTTATAGAATGTGTCACTTTGAGCATCAACACTTATGAATGAGATATATTTCTTTCAAAAAGCTCATAATTAAATGAGAATGAACTCCGCTAAAGAGATACTTTACTGTTTCGACATTGATATAGTGATCCTTTGTAATGCAGAAATGGTTATGTTATGATATAAGATCATCAGTACAACTACAGCTTATGTTCAACTTCATGGGCAAATTCCCATTCCTGATTTTGCTATAAGACCATGACTTCTGGCTTATACAAGTGAGAAAGAAGGCGATGAAAAATTGTGTCCGTGAGATCAAACCCAACTGTAGTTAGGTCTAGAAATATGGCTGATAGGTTTACACGTCTCAAACATATTTATCCAGAAGCCTCTCATAGTTGAAGCGCCACTGGTTGAGTGAGTGAGTGAGTGAGTGAGTTAAAATTTAACGTCACATCGGCAATAATTCAACAATATAGTGACGAGAAATGTTTTACATAAACCAGAAATTAAAGTTGCTAAATAATCAGTCATCGAAGGACTGTAAAATAACTAGAGTATCACAAGACGAATTAACACTAGCTAGCATATATTTCTATAAGTAGAAAACTGTTTTAGACAATACAGTGTGAAAATGGGCTATTGATCGCCAACAACTGAAGGTGTATACTAGGGACCATGGGGATTTACAGTGCCTTTGCTACCTGCATGGACCCTAGCTTGATTTACACCATCCATTTAGCTGCTGGCGATTGTAGGCAAATTTAGCCACAAATTAAATAATACTACAATAAAAACAGTGGAAGATTAAATTTTACTTCGAATGATTTGGCACCAACGTAAACTCTCAGGAGGACAATACCTTTACGGTACTTCAACCTCCCTTGAGGATACCGCCACTAACAATCTAAGTTGCTAATTTAACTACCAATAATGAAATATACTGAGAGAAATAAATAAAGGATCACAAGAAAATTCAAGCGTTCCTTTAATATTTTCCAGTTTTCATCACCAGCTTTGAATAGCGCTCTTTCTTTCTCTCAGTATATATCTATATACAAAACATATCAATCAAAATTTATAAATTAGATCAATTTCTTTTAAAATTTCAATAATTAAATGATAATTAATACAGCTAAAATGATTCTTAACGCGCCTCCCTTGAAATGGGGCCAGGGAACTCAACCACGAGCCACAGCTGGTAACGCAACGACTATGAACTACTTTTGAACTTGTGGAGAGTGTTTTTACGGTCAGTGAAGTAGCATACGCATGTCTCAGTTATGGGTATGTCACCTTGAACTTGCTGTCCCTGCGTTAGCTAGGATAAGTTCTTAATAGTCTGGCAACAATTCACCCTGACCTACATTGAGTTTATCTTTAATACATATTTAGCGTACTAAAATAGTAATCTGCAGTAAACCAGATTGTGACTTCAGTTTTCTAACGTTGCGCAATAGTCCAGTTACATTTGGTTGGTACATAATGGTGTGTAGGCCAATCGGATTAGGTGCCGTCATCATGAGCTGCAGTCCACGTGTCAGGGTGGAGAGACACGATTGGAAAATCAAGGACGGTTTTAGTAATGGCCATCATACTGCAGCCCGAGTTACGTGAATTGTCCAAGATCGAAGAATTGCAAAACAACACAAACACAGACGTAATCTATTAATTCGATAACACCAGTTGATCAATTAATCTGCTTTAAATACATCTACTACAGAATATGTCGAAATTTCTGTCTCTGTTCACGAAGACCTGAATTGCTGTAGATATATCATCTGTGAATTCCCATAGAAGAAATTTCAGATCGGTTGCTTCAACGTTGTGATTTAACGTTGTCACAACGTAAATCTCTAGAATCCCAGATGATTTGCGACAACTTTGTGATGTAACGTTGTTACAACGTAAATCTGTGGACTTCCTGATGGCTTTTATGTTGTAAGAACGTAAATAAAGAGACACCCATATTTGTTGCTACAACCTTGTCATGTAACGTTGTCACAATGTAAATCTGGAGACATCCAGATGGGTTGTTACAACCATGTCATGTAACGTTGTCAAAATGTAAATCTAGATATGCTCAGATGGGTTGTTACAGCTTTTGTCATGTAACGTTGTCACAATGTAAATCTAGAGACACCCTGATGGGTTGTTACAACCTTGTCATGTAACGTTGACACAATGTAAATCTAGACTTACCCATGTTTGTAGCTACAACCTTGTCATCTAACGTTGTTACAATGTAAATCTAGAGACACCGATATTTGTTGCTACAACCTTGTCATCTAACGTTGTCACAATGTAAATCTAGAGACACCCATATTTGTTGCTACAACCTTGTCATCTAACGTTGTCACAATATAAATCTAGAGACACGTTGTCAAACCTTGTCATCTAACGTTGTCAGAATATGAATCTGAATGTAAATCTAGATACGGTCAGATGGGTTGTTACGACTTTGTAATGTAACGTTGTCACAATGTAAATCTAGAGACACCCATATTTGTTCCTACAACCTTGTCATCTAGCATTGTCACAATATAAATCTAGAGACCCACATATTTGTTGCTACAACCTTGTCATCTAACGTTGTCACAGTGTAAATCTGGAGACACCGATATTTGTTGCTACAACCTTGTCGTGTAACATTGTCACAATGTAAATCTAGAGACACCCATATTTGTTGCTACAACGTTGTCTTGTAACATTGTCACAATATAAATCTAGAGACCCACATATTTGTTGCTACAACCTTGTCGTCTAACGTGGTCACAATGTAAATCAGGAGACACCCAGATGGTCTGTTACAAGCTTGTCATCTAACATTGTCAAAATGTAAATCTGGAGACACACATATTTGTTGCTACAACGTTGTCGTGTAACATTGTCACAATATAAATCTGGAGACACCAATATTTGTTGCTGCAACGTTGTCATGTAACGTTTTCACAATTTTAATCTATAAATAAATAAGAAAAACAATGTCAGTTTATAAACTCTGATACACTTTGTGGCAGGATACAAAGTGTCAAGTGCCTACCTTGACGTTGACGTCTAGTTTGGTGGTGACTGTAAATCCGGTGCTAAATCAGATTCCTATCAAAGATACCCCTCCTTATCGTACTAGTGATTATTTCGAATTGTGTAATCAATGTGAGAGTTTAATCCATGTAGCATACCTTCAAACACGAAGCTATGGTTTCAGAATATTTTTCACGTTCGACACAAAGCAGTAAATAATGAGTGCGTGATTTTAGGTTTACGCGGCTTTTAGCAATATTCCAGCAACATCACGACGAGAGACACCAGAATGGGCTTCCCACATTGTACCCATGTGGGGATTCGAACTCGAGTCTTCGGCGTGACAAGCGAACGCTTTAACCATTAGGTAGCCCCACCGCGCCACTAAGCAGTGAATAATCAAAGATCGGTAAATTTGCAACCGGTGACTGCACTGACAACCCTTTCAACATCTGATTTCGTCCAAGATGTTTATTCCAATTGCGTAGATCGATGTTCATGGTGTTGATCATTGGATTGTCTGGTCCAGACTCGATTAGGTACAGACCACCACCACCGTACAGTTGGAATATTGCTGAGTGTGGTGTTAAGCAACAAACCAACCAACCAACCTAGATGTGTTTAATTCCTATGATTTATTATTTACGATATGAAGACACACGAAGTCAAATATGCCCTTAGCTGAGCTTAAAATGAAATGCTTTAAACAAAGGAAGCATACCACATTCACTTTCACATAAGAAACCATATGGTCCCTAGTATGGTGATCTACCTTCAGTTGCTGGTGATTTATAGCCCGTTTTTATATTGTATTGCCTTGCATAATAGTATAAGTTTTTAGTTACATGCTAGTTTTATATTTTTATCTGTGATACACTAGTTGTTTTACTGTTCATCGTAAACAGTTTTATTACTTCTAATATTATTGATCTTTACTGATAATAAATTGTTAACTCACTCCCTCATATGAAACATCGTGGAAATGAATTAAACGGTGTCATGTAAAATGTAGTGTCAAACGATGAGCTTATGTAGTTCTAAATGACCTTACATTCATATTCCACGGAGGATTGGCTTACCGAATATATAAAACATGCATATCTCATAATATCTATCAATTGAATCTTTCCGTTTGTATGTTGGCTCAGACACATTTCAAACAGTATCAATCCTTAACGTGGCACTCTCTTTTAGCATACCATACCCAATGTATGGCGTTAAACAAAAAGTAATATTGATTTGCACAGATCCTACTATATATTATCATTATGACAGAGATAACTTTATTGACACCGAAACGTCGCTCTGTTCAATAAATAAGACGGTTTTTTCAATACGTGTTATGTTTCCTCCAACAGCGACACCTTCTCGTTGCGTTTTATTCCTGATGAAGGATTTGAATCAAAACAATCAAGGTTTAATTGATTCTCAAGGAGAATTTATTCACTGAAGTTTTCCAGCAACGAGTGCAACGGATGTTACGTGGCCACCGTTCCCATCAAAAGTGAAGGTCACGGTGTTTGTTGCGTGGACCCAAGAATGAGGGACCATGAACTCCCACACATTCCATTTCGTTTTCCCCTCAGTCTTCATAGAATCAAACAGCATGTAGCTTGAAGACAACCTATGGCCATTGAACATAACTGCCTTAGGTTCTGTATTAGCATTCTTGACTCGGCTGATTCCAACTCTAAGATAAGCCTCATGGTAGCCAGAGCTCGGTACACTGATGGTTGTCTGCGCATGTCCGTTGCTGATAGGGATGATCATTTCCTTGCCATAGTATGTGTTCTGGTTGTTCGTGTGAAGTCCAGCAAAGTTGTAGCTGGTTTCAAACTTGTAGAAGCAGGTTGACAATCCAGGAAGACTGACACTGCCATGAAGCTTAGACCTGTCAAAATGGGTATTGGGGTGAACAGCTGGCTTACCATTTTCGAACACAATACATGTCTGTTCACCTGTAGAAGGGTTGATCCAGTTGTTTGAAAAGTCTAGTTTTACATTCTCAGATTTACTACCAAAGTTGTGGAGAAGAACTACTATCTCTTTGTTGTGAGGGTTTGCAAGGGCAAGAGGTGAAACTATTCTCTCCTGCCCATCGTATTGACTAGACAGCCTTAGAAACTTTTGATCATCAATAAAATATTTCCAAAACGTGAAGAATTTGGTGGCCTGAAGGCTGTGACCGTCAGTGGTAAATAAAGAATTTCGAAGGGAAGTGTGACCTGGGTATTGTTCATTTGTGAGGAGATATATTGTAGCTCTGTCCATGAACTCTCTCAGGTTAAGGAAAGAAAACATGAAACCATTTGCTTGATAAATGGTGTGAAACTGAGTCCTTCCATTTTCAACACTGGGTCCAATGCCAAGGGTAAGTAGACCAACCCCAAATTCAGTGTTTACTAACTCAACCTTTTTGCCTTTCTTCAGATGAGAGTAATTCTCAACCATGTCAAGAGAAGCAAACAGACGAGCTTCGTTGATGCCGAAGTAGGCGTTGCTCGATAGATTATGCAGATGATTGTAAGAATGGAAAGAGAAATAGTCCAAGTGATCAAGAGACATGTCCAGAAACTTAGCAGTTCTCTTCCAAGAGCTGAAGTTGTTTTCATCTGATTGTCGTAAGGCCATACTCGTGTATGATGGTCCAGCAACTTTCATTCCAAATCTTGATTTCAGTTTGTCTGCAACAGCCCTGTGGTAGTTTACATTCGTTTGTGGGTCAATATACTGTTCGTCCCAATCAGGTTCATTGATGACTTCAAAAATAGCGGGAAGGCGTCCTCCTGTGTAATCCTTGCAGCTCTGGACCATCAGCGACACAAACTCTGATGCAGCAGCAACATTGTTTGGGAATTTACCTTGGTGGTGAGATTTATCTATCCAGTTGGGCCAGTACAGACCTGAAGAGAAACCACAGTGACAGGGAATTTAAGTCAAGGGTTAAGTCTTAAACTACTGCAAGCATGACCGAGTGTACGTAAAGGCGTTTACTTTTGGGACAGTTGAAATGTGTTGTGTGACAGTGTTATTCAGAGATTTCGGATTCCCGCCACTGATCAGTGAAAGGCTAAAGGTGGGCTAGCCTAGTGGTTAAAGCGTTCGCTCGTCACGCCAAAGACTTGGATTCGATTCCACACATGGGTCAAATGTGTGAAGACCATTTCTGGTGTCCCCCACCATGATACTGCTGGAATATTGCTGAACGCGGCGTAAAATCCAAACTCGCTCAATCACTCAACAATTCAAACTAAGGGCAAACTGTCATTTTCTTTCAACCAAAAACATAAAACTTTCTCTTCACCTTTCATTTCCCAGATCATGTTGTCGATCTGATGCCCATAGTTTTGCAGTTGTCGGAGATATGTTAGAAATGTCCTCCTCTGGAGTGATTGGTCCTGGAGATACTTAGGGTCCGGATAACCATGGTGACTTGGGCTTTGAGGCCACTGCATTAAAGAAAATAATATTGAATAGAATGTTCAAACACTTAGGAAAAAAGTAGACGACAAACAGTTGTATTTGTTACAACGTCCGTTTTAAATGAATTTGTATCAGCATTGAATGACAGTAACATTTGGCAAATGTATAACACGTTTATCAAATATAAGCTGTGTATCATTCTCTGTTCATGCACCCTTGTTGACTATAATCTCTTTTAGAAACCACTTACACATAAATTATCTCATTCTAGTTTGGAGAAATAAGTGAGTGAGTGGGTATAGTTTTACGCCACTTTTAGAAATGGGCTTCACACGCTGTACCCGTGTAGGGAATCGAATCCGGGTCTTTAACGTGACAACGAACGGTTTAACCACTAGGCTACCCCACCGGCCTGTAGAAATAAAGCTTCTGACAATATCTCTATTCAGTAGGTACACGATGACATAAGCATTGTGCACGATTGTAATTTCAAAATCGAATGTTTTACTTCATACGTACATTTGGAAAGAGACTTTCCCTGTAGTCTCTGTTCACCCACCGTCCAGGAACCGCTCGGATAGATTTCATATTTGGAATTAGGTTAATTTTGGTGAGCCCATTAACGTTGTTCCATCGTTCAACTTCATAATTGACACGTCCACCCTGGGAAAGCCACTCGTTGTAGATTGTGACGGTTGTGTCAGAAAACGTCGATCCCCACAGCAGAAGTGTACACAGAAGATGTGGAAACATTTTGCAGTGAAATATAGTGGTATTGCTTTCAATCAACATGAACATTTAAGTGTTTAATCTAGGCCGTAGTCTGCTTGTGAATTAGCATGTGACAGCGCTCAAATAATCAGTAAACATTTAAGATAAGAATGGACAATATTAATATGTCGGAAGATTCTGGAGAAAATCTGCATATACATTAATCATCAATATGCATGAAAGTTTGATATTTCGATTCTGTGTGAATGAATGAGTGAGTTAAGATTTTAAGTCAATGTTTCAGCCATATCGTGACTAAATCAAGTTATAGTGAGTGAGTGAGTTATTATTTAACGTCACATCGGCAATATTTCAGCCATATCGTGACGAGAACATTTGACATTGAAATAGAATATATATAGATATTATAAAAACCTGCCGACGAAGGACAGTAAAAATGCTAGATAATCACAGATATGAATATAAAACTAGTGAACAAAGCTAAAACATTCCAATAAAAGAAGACAATACAATATAAAACACGGGCTATAGATCGCCAACAACTGAAGATAGATCACCATACTAGGAACCATGGGGACTTACATTACTTTCGCTACCTGCATGGACCCTAGTTGGATTTACATCATCCCTTCAGCCATTGGCGACAGAAGAGAAATCTAGCCATAAATTAAAAGCACACATATTCTACGATTAAAAAGGTGGGAAGCCTATATTTGCTTTGAAAGTTTTGGGGACTTACGTACCCTCTCAGGAGGACAATAATTTTACGCTACTTCAACCCCCTTTGAGGATACAGCCACTAACAATCTAAGCTGAAAATCTGAACTACCAATTATAAAACCTTATCTGTTTACAAAACATATATCAAAATTCATTTAACAAGTCTATCTCTTTTAAAAAATCAATGATTAAACGATAATTAACATTACTAAAAAGGTCCTATACTGTTTTGACATTAAAATATCCATCCCTTATGATGGAGAATTCAACACAGTCTAGCAGGACATGCTTGACCGTGGTTCCTCATCACAAGGGATACAAAACGGAGGATCCTCACCTTTAAATAGGTACTTATGAGTATATCTTGTGTGGCCAATACGACATCGCCGTATGATGACCTCTTCAAATCTGGACTGACAACCCAAGTAGGTGTAAGCGAATCATAATATGTTAACAATACATGACAATACAAAATAAAAACAGGCTATAGATTACCAACGACTGAAGGTAGATCACCATACTAGGGACCATGGGGAGTTACAGTACATTTGCTTCCTGCATGGGCCCTAGCTGGATTTACACCATCCCCTCAACCGTTAGCAATTTAGACACATCTAGCCAAACATTTAACAATACACATATACTACGATTAAACATAGTGGAGAGTTTGAATTTACTTTGATTGTGTTAGGCTAACGTACCCTCTCAGGAGGCGGTGGGATAAATTAGTGGTTAAAGCGTTCGTCCGTACGCCAACGCCCCGGTTCGATTCCCCACATGGGTACAATGTGTGAAGCAAATTCTGGTGTCCCCCGAAGTGATATTGCTGGAATATTGCTAAAAGCGGCGTAAAACTAAACTCACTCACATTATCTCCGATGCATCACTTTAATAAAGGCAGCTGTAAAGTTGTAATGTAAATGATATTTTTTGATAATAGAGTTACTTTCACATTTAGATATACACTAATATATGGCGCTATATGGCGGCGGTCTGTAAATAATCGAATACATCTGTAATGCTTCTGAAACAAACATATGCCCATGACATAGTCACCATTGTACAATCAACGCTGCTTTTGGTAGAGATTTCTTATGAATGTACCGCCTCCGTGGTGTAGTGGTTAGAGCGTCCGCCCGGAGAGCGGAAGGTCGCGGATTTGATCCCCGACCGCGTCATACCAAAAGACGTTAAAATATGGTACTTGTTGGTCCCTGCCTGGTGCTCGAAATTAATGGGTACAACAAGGACTGGTCGGCTCAGAGTCAGTATAATGTGTCTGAGTTGGGTATTCATGCTTCACTGCGTCATGGTATCTCAGTGGGCTAGCACTATAAAACCAGCTTCAATCTGGGCTAGTACAAGCAGCCGCACATACACATACACACGCATGCACGTCGTCATATGAGCGAAATATTCTCAAGCACGACGTAAAACCCAATTTCACCTCACGTCACCTTTGTTAGGAAAGGTACTGTATCGGGATACGCATAGTATCTCACCCATATAATATTGGCTATGAAACGTATCGATTCTCGTTACACCTACTAGGGTCAATTGAATGCCTTCACATCTGAATAGAGAACTGATTGAACTGCATTTGATCCACAACTGTCTGGTTTCGTGAAAGAGATCTTCAAAATCCAAAATAGGGAATGAAGAAGAACCTGCTCATTGTCTTATAGAATGGATCGAGGCAGCGTGCACAAAAGAGAAAACACTATTGGCAGAAACATATACTTTTCCAAACCAGGTGCCAACTTGCCCTACATGAGAAGCGTATAGCTGTTCCCACTGACAAGGGCTTCGAAGAAGATATTTTTTTAAGATAGTATCACTTGATCAACTTTTTTTTAACGAAGACGTTGTTCATGGGCAAAAGGTTGAGACATATAGTAATTTGGGTCGCTAAGGACCACGTTTAGTTTCCACCTGCCAGGTAACACATATGCACGACAGTTCAATACCACAGTCCATATCAACAATATACAGGTATATTAGTTTCCTAATGTAAAGTAAAGGTACATCTGGCGGAGTACTCACGAAACATACTGTTCGAATTAACTGAAAATGCGCGTAGTTCCGAGCAAGCTATATTGGTCAAAATTGATTGGCTTGGTTATTATGTGTGTTTCGGTGTGAGCCGTGGCTACTTTTGTCCTTAAGGGATTTGTCTGGTCCAGGCCATATTATGCACAGGCGACAGGATGAGTTTGGCGTTAAACGGAAAGCAGTATTGCACTGAATTAATATTGGAATATATCTTATCATAATGACAGTGATCACGTTTGTCTTGATAACGGTGTCAGAATCTACATCAAAACATCGCTCTGTGTAATGGACACAGTGTGGTTTTCCTTAAATAGTTAAACTTTGTGCCTCACGAACATAACTGTATCATCTTGGATCTGTAATATTTGGCAACTTGTCGCCTTTTCCGATTCATACCATTCGTCATATGAATCAAAGCAGAGTATTCGTCTGGAGAATTTATTCACTGACGTTTTCCTGCAACGAGTGCAACAAATGTCACATTGCCACAATACAGTACGACAATACGATGACACATCAATCAAGTCACTGTGAGTGACGCTTGAGGCAGCAAATCGCTACTTATGGATTGTAAATATGCAAGTAAGATTTTGTTTGACTGACCATTTTTGTCATGAGACATCAAGTAAACATTATGGCAAAATCTAATTTGACAATGTTTGAGCAAGGTGGTGTCTCGGTATGTACTGGACATTGGGACATATGCCCATGTGTGTTCAATGTAAATTTGTCTGTTAATGAGAGCGGTTTCGGTTTGGAACAAACGGAAGCATTTATGTTTTATATTTCGTTTAGTTTTGCTTGTTCTTACTTGATAAAAACTACATTTTCCATTAGACAAAATCAGTGTGCTATCAGACATTACATTTACAATATACCACCTAAGAGTGAGTGAGTTGAGATTTTACATCACATCGGCAATATTTCAGCCATATCGTGACGAGAACATATATGATATTGAAATGGAATATATGTATATTATAAAAACCTGTCGGCGAAGGACAGTAAAACAACTAGAATATCACAATTAGAATTAAAACTAGCGTGAAAGTTAAAACTAATAGCACTATTTGGACAATATAATATAAAAACAGGCTATAGATCGCCAATAACTGAAGGTAGATCACCATACTAGGAACCATGGGGACTTACATTACTTTTGCTACCTGCATGGAGCCTAGCTGGATTTACACCATTCCTTCAGCCGCTGGCGATTGTAGGATAATTTAGCCGAAATTTAAAAGAACAAAAATACTACGTTTAAAAACTTGGTACGTGAAAATTGTACTTTGAAAGTTTTGGGCACTTAGGTACCCTCTCAGGAGGACAATAATTTTACGCTATTTCAACCCCCTTTGAGGATACAGCCGTATCACCTAGGAATGAATTTCTGCAATGACAGATGATGCAAAGGAGCATTTAAAATATTATCGCTGAATTGTAGAGGCTTAAATAATAACTTTAAAAGGAAACAATTTTTCAGATTCTTGAGAAAAAAAAGGCTCAAATATATTGTTTACAAGATGTTCATTTTACAGCTGATCAGGAACAACTAATAAAACAACAATGGGGTATAGTGAATGGTACATAAGTTCATTTAAAAGAATGCAAGGGGGGCAGCAATTTTATTTAACAATAAGTTTCAATTTAAGGTCATGCAAATAATAACTGACAAAGATGATGGCAACTATGTAGCATTGGATGTGATTATCAATGATAAGATATATACTTTGATTAACTTATATGGGCCAAATTCCGATAAACCAGAATTCATAAGACACATTAGAGAAATAGCTGAATAATAAACAGGTGAAAATATTGTTATATGTGGTGATTGGAATTGTTGATTTATCCTGATAATGATACCTTCAACTTTAGACATATAAATAACCCTAAATCAGGCCAGGAATTGTTAGAGACAATAGATTTCCTAGATCTCAAATACCCATGGCGAGAATTGCATCCTTCTACAAGAAGGTTTACCTGGCCACAACCAACACCACTAAAGCAAGCTCGATTAGACTATTTCTTAGTTTCCCATAATGTTCTCAATTCCGTAGAGGAACCAAGTATCAATTCAGATCACTCGATAGTGCCACTCACAATTATGTTTTCAGATATACAAAAAGGGAAAGGCTTCTGGAAGTTCAATAATTGGCTGTTAAAGGATACGAAATATGTGGAAATTATAAAAAAAATAATAAGCGATACCCTGGAACAATATCAAGACAAAACTATAGAAGATGAAAGAGTGTTTACAATTAATGATCAATTACTATGGGAAATGTTACTGTTAAACATAAGAGAAGCGTCAATACTTTTTTTCAACTACACGTGAAAAAGAAAACCTCTTGTGACACTGAAAAAGGGGGTTGCAAGCCTATTTACTAAAACACCAAGCTTAATCATCTTTTCAGCAGTATACCTACTCCACCAAAACATATAATAGAAATTTTCAGAAAAAATGTTTTCAATTTATCTGGAAGTTCAAACCAGACAAGATCAAGAGGGAGGTAATGGTACTACACTAATTGTGGCATTAGTGTACCTGTTGTAGAAAAAGTAATTGCAGATCAGAAATTAGGATGGTTAAAAGATTATTTACTAGTAAACCAAAGTGGGCAATCATATTCTTTGAAACTGCAGTGAATACAAATGTCATGACTTTGGCTGATAGTTCATATATCTATGAAAATATTGCTCCAAATATTCATAACACCTTTTGGAACGAGAAACTGCTATTATGGAACTTATATCTGAACTGTGATGACACTAAAAAAACAACTATTGAAGACATTATGAGCAAATCAGTTTGGGTATAACAATTCCATAAAAAATGATGGTAAGCCCATATATATTGCACAGTGGCATAAAAAGGGTATAACATTTCTGAATGATTTTATTAATGAACATGGTAAAATATATTTGATATATTTGATGAATTTGTTAAAATATAGAATTAGAACCAATTTCGTGACTTATCGAGCAATAAAACAAGCTATGTTGAGTTATTTACAAAATATTAATAGGAATTATTTAGTGAAAATTCCTCAAGGACCAATATTGCCAAAATACATAATAAATCTGGATGTAAGGTACTTTATAAAATCTTGCATGAGCCTAATTTTACAAAACTTAAGACGTACACAAAGTGGGAAAGCTACCTTAGGAAAACATTGACTGATACAGAATGGATAAACTATAATATGATGGTAAAAAGATGTACCCCGAGTAGTGAATTAAGATGGTTTAAGTTGAAGGTTCTACACAATATGCTGAGTACAAATAGTTATTTATTTAAGATTGGTTATGTACCATTTGCAGCTTGTACCTTATGTAACGAACCAAATGAAACAATTTCACATATCTTATGTAAATGTTTATATTCTGTTGATATATGGGAAAAGCTACTAGAATGGATTGGAAATTATACAGAGGGCAGAATCACCTTTAGTGAAGATCATATATTGTTTAAAGGGTAAACATAATAATCCGTTGAATGTTGTTATCATGATAACAAAACCTCTCCTTTATACATTTAATAGAAAAAATGACTAAACCAAGCTTTATAACCTTTCAAAAAGAAACAGTAAGATATTACCAATCCTCAAGGTTTATTGCATATTCAAATTGTAACTTTGCAAGCTTTCATGCTTTCTGGTCTTCTTTCAATTTACTGTTTAGAAATCCTCTACACTAATTCCTGAAAATTGAATACATTATAAAATTATATATATACATACATGTATATGTGCATGTGTGTGTGCGTGTGTATCTGAATGTGTATGTATATATATATATGTATTCTATGTGTGTATGCATGTATGTATGTGTGTATGCATGTGTGTGTATGTATGTATGCATGTATGTATATATGTATGTATGTATGTATATGTGTATGTGTATATATGTTTGTGTTGCTATTACATTTACAACAAGTCAGATGAACTTATGAATGTTCAGAATGGATGGGAAAATGTAGCTTCAAAAGATCGAAAAAAAATATCAAACAAGTCAGGGTCTGTATCCTCTACTACCTTGTCACCAATTTGTTACTTATCATGTGGGAAATGAATCAACACAAACGAAGTATTTTTCTGGAGAATTTATTCACTGCAGTTTTCCTGCAACAAGTGCAACGGATGTCACGTTGCCACCGTCCCCATCAAAGGTCATGCTGACGGTGTTGGTTGTTTTTATCAGTGTTTCAGGTACCAAGAACTCCCATACGTTCCATGTTGTAGTCCTCCTTTTTGCATTCTTCATGGAATCAAACAGCATGTAGCTTGGAGACAAAGTGCGACCATTGAACACAACTGCCTTAGGTTTTGTATTGTCTCTCATGCCACGGCTAATTCCAACTCTAAGATGAGCCTCATGGTAGCCAGAGCTCGGTACACTGATGGTTGTCTTCGCACGTCCATTGCTAATGGGGACGAGCATTTCCTTGCCATAGTATGTGTTTTGATTATCTGTTTGTAATCTGTTAAAGATGTAGTTGGTTTGAAATTTGTAGAAGCATGTTGATGATCCAGGCAGACCGACGGTGCCATTAAGCTTAGATATGTCGAAATGGGTATTGGGATGAACAGCTGGCTTACCCTTTTCGAACAGAATACATGTCTGTTCACCTGTAGAAGGGTTAAGCCAGTTGTTTGGAAAGTCCAGTTTTACGTTCTCAAATTTGTTGCCAAAGTTGTGGAGAAGAACTACTATCTCTTTGTTGTGGGGGTTTGCAAGAGCAAGTGGTGACACTATTTTCTCCCTGTCCATCGTGTTGACTAGAAACCCGGAGAAACTTTTGATCATCAATAAAGTTTTTCCAGAACAGGAAGAATTTGGTTGGCTCAAGGCTATGACCGTCAGTTGTAAATAAGGAATTCCGAAGAGAAGTATGACCTGGGTATTGCTCATTTGCGAGGAGATATATTGTAGCTCTGTCCATGAACTCTCTCAGGTTTAGGAAAGAAAACATGAAACCGTTCGCCTGATAAATTGTCTCAAAGTCTATCAGTGGATTTTCAAAATCGTTCGCCACACCCAGGGAAAGTAAGCCTACTCCAAATTCAGTGTTGACTAATTGAACACTTTTTCCTTTCTTGATATGAGAGTAATTCTCTACCATGTCAAGGGAAGCAAACAGACGATCTTCATTGATGCCATAGTAGGATTTACTAGACGTATTGAACATATGGTTGTAGGAATGAAAAGAGAAAAAGTCCAAGTGATCAAGAGACATGTCCATAAAGTTAGCAGTTCTCTTCCACAAGCTAAAGTTATTTTCATCTGCTAGTCGTAAGGCTTCACTCGTATAGGATGGTCCGGCAACTTTCATTCCAAATCTTGATTTCAGTTTGTCGGCGACAGCCCTGTGGTAATTTATATTCGTTGGTGGATCAATATACTTTTCATCCCAGTCAGGTTCATTGATTACTTCAAATATGTAAGGAAGGCGTCCTGCTGTGTAGTCCTTGCAAGCCTGAACCATCAGTGACACAAACTCGGATGCAGCGTCAACATTGTTTGGGAATACATCTTTATGCTGAGACTTATCTATCCAGCCCGGCCATGCCAAACCTGAAGGGATGCAAAATATATTGCAAATGAAATTTTCATTTCCAGCATATTTATCGGGTGTTCAGTTATGAAACGCAAATGAGTGTGGATGTATTAGTGAGTGAGTCAGTTAAAATTTAAAGTCACATCGGCAGTGTTTCTGCCATATCGTGACTAGGAAAGTTGTAAATTTATAAATAAAAAACCCCAAAACTGTGGAGTATTAAGTCCCGTTGCATTTCAACTGTCGGTAACATTAAAGATCAGATAGGTAGCAAAAGTACTGGTCCCTACGGTCCCTAGTATGGTGATCTACCTTTAGTTGTTGGCGACCTACAGGACGGTTTTATGTTGTATTGTCTTCTATAGTTAAGGTATTTTAGATTTAATTACTAGTTTAGAATTTACTTTTAGTTATTATAAATCTATAACATGATTTAGTCACGATGTGGCTGAAATATTGCCGATGTGACATAAAATCTTAACTCCTTCACACACTTAAAGACCAGAGTGGGACTCCCAATACCGACCAGTGAAATGTGAATATTCTCAGTTCAACTTTAAACACAGTGAAATACGTTTGACACCTTTCCTGTCTTCAGTTATGACTGAAACAAAAACGTAAAAATATGTTTATAAACTTTAAAAATGATTATGTGACTTTTCAAACCTTTTCATTTCCCACACCATGTTTGTGGTGTGAGGCCCGTAGTTTTGCAATTGTCGCAGGTATGTTAGAAATGTCCTTCTCTGGAGAGAATGGTCCTGGAGATAGGTGGATCCGGATAACCATGGTGACTTGGGCTTTCAGTCCACTGAATAAAATATATCAATATGGTAGTAAAGTGATGGGTTG